TTAAATTGTTCTCAGTAGCATCACCACAAAAGAGTTGGCCACGGAGGGAAGGTGAACAATTTCTACCCCAACTGCACAGAGCCATTAGACGGCAGCAAAATAACTTCCCGAGTTGGTATTTTGCTAAGACACCGGAGCTCATACCCTGCCAAGTACTAAGGAAATGTAAAATTTTTTGATTGTGTGAATTCTTATTTCATCTGAAACAGGATATTGTTCCCCAGACACCATCATTTCAAGGTTGATCACTTTATCCACAAGTATTATTTTCCTCTTGGCACAAACACAGACCTTTCAACTTCGCATTTCAGCTAGTCTGAGCAAAGCAAAAAGAGGGTGATTTTAAGCTTTTGCCTCTTTTACATTCACTTTTATTAAGGCTTTTAATTTTAAAGGGATAAAAATAATTTATTGCCCTTTTACAGCATTAGAGTACTGTAGCAAATAAAATCGTTACACAAGGAGGCAATATTTGTACACCACTGTTTTCAGCATGATACAGACCCCAGCACTTTCATACAGCTGAGCGGTCAGTTTATTGAATACTTAGCATTGAAGAAAGGTCAGGAAATATGAGGAGGTCTGTGGATAGCATAGTTTGGAATCCCCTTTGTTTCCTGAATGACTGTATTTAAATATCCAGAAATTAAAAAATAACTTTTGTTGCAGCCTCTAAACATATTTAGAGAAGTTACTGAAACTATTAGTGGGGCTGCCCCTTTCTACAGGTGATTGCTGTGGCCAAAACATACAGTCGTAGAATCGTTTAGGTTGGAAACGACTTTCAAGATCATCGAGTCCCACTGTTAATGCAGCAATGCTGGGTCCACCGCTAAACCGCGCCACAGAGAGTTTTGGCAATAACTGCATGATAGAAATCTCTATTTTTGAAGTAGTTCAGTCATCTCTTTCAAAAGAGCAGGTTTTTTTAAAGATACACTTCACCCGTACCATTCAGCCACGTATACACATTCAGCTTTCAGGGAAGTCAGACTGAAGTTTCTCAAAATTATGGGTTTTACTCTCCTTTGGAGCGTTCCCGACTGACTAATAAACCCCACTGCTCGGAAACTCCGTATCCCTGGAGGCACGTAGCGTGAGCTACCTCGCCTCAAGATAAATCTATAAATAAGTCCCTGCCAGCGTGTCCCAGATAGCTCCGGCCTCAAGCCCTTCGCAAACGCTCACCTGCAGGAGCTGCCCCCCTGGGCTGCGAAAGGCACTTTTGTTTCGGAGCGGGAAAAGTTTTGTACGCAGCAAGTTTTGCATTCCCACCCTGTCACCCGCTGCGGGGCACCTGCCTGGCTGTTCGGGTTCTCCTTGTTAAATAAACCCAACTGAACTGATAATTATTCTAATGATCCATTTGTAAAGATTGCCTTGGTTATGCTAAAAGTACAGTGCACAATAATTTTCAATTAGCATAACATGTAGTAAATATTATAATATATAATTATTATCATATATAATTATTTTATAATTATTACTCTGGGAAAAAATTTATTCATGACAACGTTACTCTTACAATTAATGGAAAGGCCACATCATACAAAGGCCCTGGAGAACTTGAGTATGCAAATTAATTGGGCACCTGCATTAACTGATTTAGAAAAGGACTTTTAAAATATTTAAAATTCTGCTAGATACTAGCTTTATAGCACACTACATTTCAGAACGAAGCTTGTACCAATTTTGATCAGAGTAAGTTACTGAACTGTAAAAGGGCAGACATTCTAGTCAAACATTTAACTAAAGTATGACATTCTACAATCCTCTTTGTGTAACAGGACCCACTAATGTAGCACAATTTTAATAAAGCATATTTTCTGTCTGCTTTTAATCTCCAAAATGTTTCTGAGATATTACTTGCCTGCAAATATTGAAAATTATCATTTGGTAAGCCAAAAACTAAAATAAGGCATAGGCTTATTTATTTAATCACCATGGCCAAAAAAGCAAATTACAAAATGCAGTCTGGAATATTAAGGATTATTAACAACCTGCCACATAACAGATTCTATAACCAGGAAGAGATCTGACAAAATTAAATGGTCTCACACAAATGCGTGTTCTCTCACTTTAGGAGAAAAACTCTGAAGAGCCCGTGTTATAAAAAAATGAATCAAGAAAACTTTCAAGAGTCAAACCATTCATTAGAGATACAGAAGACCTACCTACTCATGAGTGTCACACTAAAACTGCCAATCAACAGTAACTTTCATTAACATCTCACATCCCAACGGAGCACTAAGTTAAAATTAGATTTAATTAGTCGATTTGACTTGGTTTAGGACCAACCAAAGCAAATCAACAATGTATCACTCGTAGGTATGAACTACATTTAGATAACAAGTAACTAAACAGATAGTCTTTAACTGTTGAGATAGTTGCTGAAATTCTGGCTCCTTTGATGCTCGGCGGGTGTTTTGCCCTTGACATCCACTACGCTGCCTTTCACCCAGCCTGACGGCTGCCAGAACAGCTCCAGACCTGCACAGCAGGCTCCACCTGGCACCGGCACTTGCCTTGGTCCATAGCCGGGGATGGTGACCTTTACTCAGCTTGGTAATCACAGCTACTTACTCACCCAATATATAAATTTGGCCTAAAAAACCAGAGGCAAGAGTTTCTAGGAGAGCAGGTCTTGTAGCAGACAGCACAATGTCAGTACTGGCTTAAAGAATCCAAAACTTACAGAAAATGAAGTGTATGAACAATAATTTTGGTTTCTTGTTCCTGCCTTCCTGATGGTTTTCACAGTGGAGTCTTCTCTGACAAAATGCACTAAGGAACACTATGAGCAGAGCCAGACCGAGGACTGGCTTCTTTCCTGCACTAGGCAGAGAGGCTCTGTGAACACTCTGAGCCTCTGCTCTGGCTTCCAAGTGACTGCTCCAACTACTATGTTAATGTCAAAAGTCTCTTCCTTTGACCTCTGTCATAAAAATTGACCTCGGCTCAGTTAAGTGACTTCCTTCGGGAAAGCTGTACTCTACACTAAGCGAAAAGAGATGCTGCATGTACAACCCTGAATAACTGCCAAAACTCCCAAGGAATGCATCACGGCTGCGCTGGCATTTCCCATGCTGTGATCCCATCCAAAGTCCTTAACGACCCTTTGGCAGCATCCGCATTCTTCACACAGGTAATCAATGTAACTGCTACCTGCTTGAATCCCAACTTCTCAGTTCTTACTCTCTGGTTTGATCTTAACTTCTGGATCCACGCATAGCAGTGCCCTTAGCTTAGAGATGCTGAATCTCACTGTTGGAGTAAGGCTCTTTTGGGGCATTTCAACTCTTAAATGGCAACGAGTAACCAGGACTTCTGCAGAAGCAGTTGATTAAAAAAGCAGAAAAATTGAGATGAGTGCAAAAAAGTAAATAGGAAGACAAAGATGACTAGCAACAGTGATGCAAATGAAATAACAGGGCATTTCATGAGTTACCAGAACTGAATGTGGAAAAGATGAGAAGGCAGGCTGCAGCTGCAATTATATTTTTAATATCATTCAATTGTTTTTTAGCAATGATATTTTGAGTACTGTGAAACTTCTGCTGAGGTAAGCAGTTGCCAAAGTGGTAGTAATCGAAGCGGGGAGATCTCTAGGGGAAGGTACTCTTCAGGAGCAGACTCAGGAGAGGTCACCTCTCCAGAAGTGGGGAGGAGGGAGGGGGATTTAGGAAGAGAAGAGATGGATGTTGAGGACAGCAGCGGTTCTTCCCTCACCTTCGGTGTGCTGCCATGGCGAGATCTGAGCCTCCCTTAACTCTCTCTGTGACCAGTGGAGAAAGACCAACCACAGGTATGACTGAGGTCACCTGAGACCTCGTTTGCTCTCTGGGAGTGACCATCTCTATCAGCTCAAGAGCAAAAACTGAACAGGGTAACTACATCCTAACCTAAGCATTTTTCTTACATACTTAATTTTAGATTATATGAAATGTTTAAAAAATACAGCTGTTTAAAAATTATTTTAAGTTCTTCAACATTTCCCTGTATTTAAATTTAAAAATAAGAAAACTTTTTTGACACCTCAGATGTCCCCAAAACTTCTTGTGGCTTCTGCCCACATATTGTTCATTCATCTTATGGCTAGCATATTAAAACAATTCATGAGAAGCTCATTAAAACCTAGCAAGAAAAGTCTTCTGGTGCATTTCATCAGAGGAGATAATACCCTACAATCTAGAGCATGAATGTGTTATAAGAAACAAAACAGAGCCATTCAGACAAAGAACACTTGGAATGTATTGTTCCCATAAGCAGATGTTAAATTACTTCACTGTAAAGCAGGATTTATAAAACCCAAATAAATGTTATTTTGATGTGAACAAACAAGATCAGTTTATTATTTCAGCAGGGCGACACAGAATTTTTGTACATGTGTCTCACCACATAAGCAGATGTGTTGAAAGGAGAAACTGGTTGTTGGCTAGAAATGCTACGTGCATATAGAAGCACTGACGGAGCAAGACAGAAGGGGTGGATCCTGACTGGTATACTCAGCTCAAGCACAAATAGAATTGTTTCAAAAAAAAAACAACAACAAAAAAACCCAACCTATCTCAGGTACAGCAGCTGGGTCAAGATTAAACTGTCAGCTAATTGGACCTACAGAGGACAAGGACCAGAATCAAGTCTGAAGATAGACCTTGAGTTACGACGGATAGAAAGAAAGCTCAGAAAAATCCTCAGTCTCCCCTGGGAACTGTTAATATCAAATATACCCAACATAAAGCAAACAAAAATAAAACGCTGACCTTCATGCTTGGTCAAACACCCTGGGGTTGTCACGTTCTGAGGGATATTGTTCTTGATCACATGTTCATCACTTTTCTTACCAAACCTAGATCTTACAGTCATTCACTTCAGAACAGTCAAAACCCATTTAGACTACAATCACCTCTCAGAAAGAGTTTAGTAATTAATTCTCATAGTTAGGTTTAACAACATAAAATTATATGTAAAGGCAACGTATTAAATGTCAGTGTACTCACATCAGTGTCAGGTCCCTTGTCAGCCCCAGGGCAAGAGAAGGTAACAAACTCATGGCATCTCTTATGAACCACAAAACAGCAAACTAGTAAGAAAAGGGAAAACAACAGTTAGAATGGCATAGAAATTTTTCTTTTCTGTTGTAATGAATATAACTACAGAGGAAACAAAACTTATAGTCAAATATTTCACCTGTAAGTCCATGAAAGAAAGCAAACTTAATGTCAAATGAAGATACACAAGGAAGACGGACATCAAGCACCTCCTCTTTAATTGCATTTAAAGAGGAGATAAGCATGCACATTTAAAAATCATCAACAGACTTTACACAATGAGAAATTTTTAATGTTTAGAACAGCCTGCAGTGTTAAAATACAGTGTGGGATGAACAGCTCTATGGAGCCACATTTCCCGAGTCTAAATCCACATCTGTAACCAGAACCGTCAACGTGCATTCGGGCAATAAACAAGGAACGTTAAGCTGGAACGAAACCCATCCTCGGGTCAGGGATTTGTTCACCTGCGTGTCTTGGTGAAGGTGTCTACGAAGATCCAATGTCTTTACTAGTTAATTACTGTGAGAAACCAAAGCTCCGAGTGAAGATTGTTGTAGAGAACAAAGTGTTCTCATATCACAGAATGGCAGGAGATAATGGGAAAAGAAAATTAGCTCCTGATTACAGTATGACTCCTATTTAAAATTTATGAATGATCCGAAAGAACCTTTTCCTTCCAAGATAAGGAAAGCTTATTTTAATTTAATTACTTCATGTGACCAAGGCTATAGGATGTCACACAGCATAGATCATATATGGACGCCCAAACCACATAAAAAGAACAATTTACTTGAGTGTGCTTACTCTGAGAAACAGGTATTTTTTGTTTTCCACCCTCACTACAGTTTTTTTCTTAATGTTAAGCTTAGGTCAGATATTTCAAAATTGATCCACACTTCATAAAATCAGAACAATCTAGATTTGAGATTGTGAAAATCTTGAAATAAACACCGTACCATCAAGCAATGAGTTGGGAGATTATAATGAAATTATTCAAAAGTAATTCCCAATTTCTTTACAGATAATACATACCCTGAACATTTTAAGTTCTACATTTCTAATACATAAAAATACACTATTTCAAAGGACATTTCTAAAGAATAAAATAGTTTTCAACTGATTGGCGACTGAAAATATTGACTTTCCTCAACTTCAGTGGAAACCTAATTAAATTATCTAAATTTTTCTTTCCCATTTAAAATGTATACAAATTTCTTTCTAAGAAAGATGCTATCACGTGTGCCTTCACGTCATCGCAGCATACGACAGCGATCCCACCATAATGCCAGACTGGCCTCATTTCCATCCTCAGGTCAGCCGCCTGGCTTTAAAGAAGTCTCACCACCCTTGGATCTTTCTCCAGCTATTTTTCATCATCATCCCATGCAGCGATTGCTTCCAACTGTTCTATTTCTGACACGGCATATGTTTATTCTTTGGACAAATGGAATAAAACGGGCTTTGCTCCACTGATTCCAGATAAGCTCTGCTGACTTCACATGAGCCAGAGTTCTGGCTCAATGTATGCTGCCCACTTGGTCGTCTCGTTTGTTAATCAACCTAAACCCCAATGAATCCTACAATTATCATTTTGACAGTTTGTTTTTACCAAATGAAAGATCACTAAGTGGCAATTACTATTAATATTACTTGCAGCTGAAAAATGTTTCACTTACAAATTGTATTTTTGGTTCCAAACCTTCCACTCTTGAAGACAATAGCCTGATTTATGTTTGCAGGAGTAAATCACATGCAAAAAAAAAAAAAAGTATCTTGTTATACCCTTCAGAAGACAAAAAAGTTAACTAATTGCTTTTGTCTGCAGTGATCATACGGTTGTAAAATACAACATAATAATTTATGCAAAACATCTGAGAAGTGTCTCTGGAAAGGCTGTAGAACTGAGCTTCTTTACCAAAGCCTGTCTTTCAACTTAGGATCTTAGACTGGCTGCTCCAACTCTGCCTTTATTCAGCAAGAGCGCACATTACAAAAACTGTATATTTGGGCATCTGTTTGGGGCACTATTTATGAAACACCACAGTCACGCAAGCTGTAAGTTGACAGCCTCTCATAGCGTGGTAAAGAATTCATTCAACTACAGACAATGTTGACCTTGTTTTTAATGTAAGTGTCAAGATAGATGCGACAGAAAACCAGGGCCACTCTCTGTGCCAGCCTTGTTCCAGCGCTACGAACTTTAGCTCCTAACTTCCGTGAAAGCACTTGCTGCTCACACTACATGCTGCCAAAATAAGTAACCCAAACAACAGTCATCCTTTTGATCTTTAAGCTACACTTCAAAAAAAGTCACTTATTAAGACTTCAACTACCAGTGTCGGTTACTGAACTTTTTAAAACCTTTCTGCTCAGTCTGCTAATAGACTAACTCTTGTGTGCACCTCAGGACGGAGAGTCTCCATTCCGTATTTGTAATGAGTTACCTATCTCCAAAGAACTTTTTTCTGTAGTAAGCACAGCGAAAACATTGGATCTGTCTCGCCTTTTGAGACTACACAAACGAGAACCAAATAGTTTGGCATTAAAATAAACAATGGAACAGGCAACTCTCATGGAACCATAAAACTAAAGAGAAAAGGATAAGGATGAATTAAACCCCTTTGTTAGCAGCAACCAGTTCCATACCTAAAATTTAATATCCAAATTTTTACTTTGGAATCCAGCCACTGGAGCATATTTTAGCATTAGTTTTTAAAGATTTCTTAATTTCACAAAGCAATACGGAGCTAGAGAACTGATGTAAAAATGTACATACTTCATATAAGTGCATACAAAATGTTACCTGCTTAAAATAGCATGCCATTATTTTAGGAATAGAGATGAAAAATAACCTCTCAGTTGTTTTTTGTTTTGAAAAGATGTTAATAGCTTCACGCCACTTATTGGAACTGTTAAGAAATCACATTAGGTTCACCATCTTCTTGTAATGAAAGTTATATTACACTACTTTGCAGAGATTGCCAGGAAATTTGTTGCTTTACATTTTAACCAGGGCGTAAGTAGAAGCAGGCTGGCACGTGTTATGCACGGTAGCCCGAGAGCAAGTGGTATCTCGAGGTCGACAGTTAAAATTAAAAAGAAAATTATTGAGGTATTTTCATGTTTTGACAGCGTGATCTTGATCTATGGTGTAGATATAATATGGCTTTGAGCTTCATCCTTCCCAGTTCCGGACTTGCTGGAGACAAACGCTCTCTCAGCAGCCTGGGGAGGGGACACCGGGGGGGGCCCAGGGAGGAAGGGAGAGAACAAAACAGGCCTTGTGCTGCAAAACCAGCCTGACAGCAAGCTCTCCCCTGGCACGCCGCATCTCCCAGGCTGCTCCCTCGCCCTCCATCCTCTCGCAGCAGTGCTGCAGAGAGCAGAAAACGCTAAACGGGTCTCATGAAAACAAGGAGGAATGTGGTGAGGAGCACTCAGTGCATTCTCAGAGCAAACCAGCAGAAGATGCACGAGGCGATTTGGGGGATTTACGATACATAATGGAAGGCAATTCGTTCTGCCCCACACTTTTCTCTCAGTGCACAATACTGAGGAAAAACATGTTATCAATAACACATGTTTATATTGTCATCAGTCATTTAGAGTTAGAAGGCACTGCCATTACATTCAAACTGTTTTCTAAATTATGTGATGTGCAAAGGTTATCATGATATATCGGCGGGTGACAGCTATCTCCTAAAAAAACCTGTTACTGGTAACTTTCATATATGACAAAGACTGATGAGACAAGAATGAAATATTACAATAATAAAAACCAGAAGCAATCTTCTCTATTAGATGATCTATAAAGGAGAAAAGCCATTGTTTAGCCCCAGTCACCCACACATCATTTAGCCATATGTCTGAAGAGCTCTACAAAACACAAGCATTCCAAAGAAGTAGCAGCAAAAATACCAAGACAGAAGTCAAATACTTTACAATTATTTACAATACTTTGGAATTATTAGAAAAGTCCAACAGATATATTAAGGGAAAAAAAAATCACTTTTATACTCCTGCTTCTCAAAGAAATAGAACAGGTTGGATGAGCCTTCCCAATAGACACGAATATCTCTGCTACACCGCAGTATTTATTTATTCAGTAAAACAAATTACCCTGCATACCTAACGGGTGGAGAAAAAGCATTTCTAAGAGACCCTAACCAAAGGGCTAGTTATTGTCTACAGAGAAACCGTGAGGGCTTTTTCAAGTCACCTTTGACTCATTTTTGTAACGGTCAAGACTATTGCCCCAACTCAAATGATAATTTTATAAAATCTTAACATGCACGTTTTTGGCTACATAATTGGTTTCTAGTATTCATTCTTCCAAAGGAAGTGGCAGAAGAGGCTTGACTGGCAGCACAGGGAAAGAACTCTCTGTACACTCTGTATGTGTTGTTGGGTTCGTTGCCGTGTTTCAAACAAGAATTGACTCTGAATTGGCCTAACGATTTACAACTAAAGTCTAAGGAGCACAAAAACACTCTCTGCTTTGCTCTCTGGGTTATACTAGAGAACTGTAAAGGCAGTTTGGAGCCCTGTATCCGTTCTATGTTGCTGTTTCACATGCTTTGCATTTTCAGTGAGGCCGCAGAACTTCCCCAAGGGGCCCATATTACTGGCTGACTTGTGTCTTCTGCACGACACCAACCAAGCAATGAATGAATTTGTCACATGGCACGCATTAGTTCATTAATTAGATTAAATATAGCCTAAGATTAAATATAGCAATTACATTAAATGGAAAAAGGGTACTACTTCAAAATCATTTAAATACCAACTGCATTTGTTATTTAAATAAGCCGTCCTGTTTAAATAAATTTACTACGAATAAATTAAACTCAGGAATAGGGAGTATTTCCGGAGCAAGAAGAGTAACGATTAAGAAATAGAATTTAGCGATACTTGTCCTTCTCCTTTTCTGAATACATTATGATTATAACTTTAGAACTTGTAAGAAAAAAAATGAAAGTCCCTTTTATATTAAATATAAACAAGGCTGTAGATTACGGAACAAACACAA